CAACACAAAAATGATTACATTTTTTGGACTAAATTTAATCGCATTCTTAATGTTCGCCTGACTTTAATGGCTAAATAAAAAACTATATATAATTTTTTATTAATCATTTCTCGATAGATATCGTGTATGTATTTTTTGAAGGCATTTTTGAGCCGATTTTACCGATAAAAGCAATTTTTATTATCATTTTTAAATATCATGTTTATTATCATTCTTCGAAAGTTTGAGATAATTATTTCATAATTTAAAAGACATTCAAAGAAATGTGATATTTATTTATAGATATCGACGATATATACACTTTCAATACCAAAATTAAAAGCAAAAATAAAATTTTTAAATTGCAAAGAATATTATTTTTATTAATATCTCTATAATCGATGTGTAATATAATAATTGAAAAATACTTTCAGCTGCTGTTTAATAAAAATATTTTATTTTCAACATTTATTTTTCTAGTTATAGGAAAAAAATTGTTGTCAATCTATGTTTAGCACAAAACCCTTTCTTATCTATCAATAATCGGATAGATTTTCAAATCAAACTTATTTTGAAGAAAAGGTTTTCGGAAAGAGATTTCGTGTGCAGTTTTGAGGGGAAAACGAAATATTATTTTTAATATTTGAAACCTCTTGCGACACAACCAGTGGTTAGCAATTATATATAAATTTGAGTAGTTTTTTGCGTAAATATATATAAAAATGACATTTTTATCGCAATTCAATGACATTTGCTATATGTGTGCGAACGTAAAGCCCAGGAATAAATTGACAAACAAAATAATATTACATTTTTAAGACATTTTTTCCTACCATTTCTGTGACCAAACAAAAAAATGGCACAAAGTTTTTGACAAATTATTCACCAAAAAAGTTATAATTCTTTTAAATGCAATTCAATGATCAACAGCTCTGACAGAGTGAGTGAAGACTTGGATATTATTTTGTATAAAACTGTGATTTTGTGTGTAGTTTTTATTTTGAAAACAGAAGTCAAAACATAAAAATAGGGCATTTAGTTATTGGAGAGAGAGAGAGAGAGAGAGAGAGAGAGAGAGAACCGTATTAAGTGTTTGTACGAGTGATCTGTATGTGTGAGTGAATGAATGAGGAGAGAGAGAGAGAGAGAGAGAGAGAGAGAGAGTTTGATTTATAATTTAATTTCTCTCGAATATAACCTTCAATTTAATAGTTTTGGCAGAAAACTTCAAAATTACATCTAATCGATAGAAATGTATATAAAAAACCTCAAAAAGTGAGAGAAATAAAAAAAGCTAAAATAAATTCAGAAACAGTTTTCTTACGTTTTCCTGATTTGTGATAAACTGATAATAAAGTTTTGAGCGCAGAATAAATGCATACTTTTTTCCCATTGCAATGGTATTGAGAGAATTGATAGACGACTACAAGTGCCTCAACACAAACCATAGCATTAAAAAACCTCTCATTGAAAACATTGAGTTTTAGTCGGTTTAATGGTTTGATGGCTCCCTCTTTACAGCGATTCTCATAAATACTACATTTCTATCATTCATTAATTTTTCGGCCAAAAACCTTAATGAATCAAAAGTTGTCGTATTTTAATTGTTATCTTTTATGTATGTATTTTAATACTATGCGAAAAGTAATTTAAAAAATTTTATTTAATTTCATCGCCACATAAAGATAGGGTTTCGCGATTCAGTGCAAAATTTTTAATCATTATGTTTTTTATATAAGAAATATAATTGAATTCACGAGCAAATAGTAATTTGTGTATAATTTTGTCACTCATTGCCAAACATTTACAAAACTTTTTAATTAATTACGGATACCTATGATGTATATAATGTATACATTGTATATAATGGGCCAAAGAGTTATTAGTGAAGCATATTATTAATAACTGTAGTCTCACTTTGTTTTAGTGTATTATTATCATATCGTATAAGGAATTGCAATGTTTAACAATCATTTCTCATTTCTATGTCACATATCTATACAAAAATAGTTTATTTCGTATTATATATGGGAATACATCACAGAATTTCGTGTTTTTCATATTTCTATTATTAATAATCTTATAATTGCTATAAAGTGAGTCAGTTATGTGTGTTTGTGGTTATTATTATTATATCATAAGATAGCCTCACTCTATCGCGTGTCAATACCTCATTATCCGATCGCTATGTTTTTTGTGGCACTATTTTCATACCACAGTATTATGTCTAAAAAATTAAGGGCTCGTATCATATCTCTTACCATCTCTCGCTCTCTCTCTTCACTTTCTGATTCAGACCTTAATTCTGTTCCACATATGAAGAGAACGCGAATATAAATATATATAGAAATATATCGCTAGAAAAATGAGCGAAAAATATATTTTCACTGAAAAACACAACATCTCTCTCTCTCTCTCTCCCCACTTATGTTTTAACTTTTGATTTTTATTTAGTCCACAATTTATTTATACCTATTCTCTATGTTTTGATTACATATTTGTGCAAATGATGTGTTATATTTTGATGAATCAATTTCCATACATCGACTAAAACAAAATAAAACCAATTTTAACGATAAATTTCTATTTAATACTCTTAACTACTGAAACAACATTTTTCTCACTTAAGTATTTATATTAATGTATTTTTGTAATCAATAATTTAGTTTATATTTTGTTTTTTGTTGTTCTTCTTCACTGATATATCATTTATTACATAATATGTTATTTAATGAAAAAATTGTTTTTATATTTAGTTTACGTTTAAGTTAAGTAAATAATTAATAATTAATGATTTCCAAAGTAAATGATAGTTAGAAATTGGGTTTTAATATATTTTTCCCATAGATATCTGTAGCGAACCGAGCGATACATTACACCCGCGAATGCTTTGACATTATATGAAGATTACATGATATTTGGCTGAAATTTATGCAAAACTGTAGTGTTTTGAGAGTGTGTTTCAATGGAAGAGTTTATTGTTTAGTTTCTCCATTTGATTTCATTGAAAACGCCGAGTATAACAATAGGAGGAGTATATGCTAAACAGGCAAACAATGCACTCAAATATGAATTAATTTATGATTGGTTATAGTGTTCTGCAGTTACGCTAACTTTTACATCAAATATTGATTGGCAAACACAACATCTCTCTCTCTCTCTCTCTCTCTCTCCACAGCATTACTCTCTTTCATCTCATCCCTCATCCCAGACCTCATTTGCATAACTATGGCATACATAGCATACATGTGCGCGCATTGCAATCCCATTGCAATCCCATTCACTCTCCCAAACAGTTCACTACAACACTCTTCGCTCTATTTATTCTTATCATTGAAATCATAAGTCAAACAATTTTTTTCTCTGTTCATAATTTCTTTCTTTTTTGTGTCAATTTTATACCGTAAGAGATTTGTTTGATTTGATAATTAATTTCTAGTTTTTTCCAATGAAATTCATAACAGGAAACGTCAAAAAATAAAAACCAATTTATTATTTGTTTGAGTGATTTTTTTCCTCCATTTCTGTCAATATATACTTTATATACAGAATATATTTATTTATATAACTAATGATTTAATAAATTATCTCGTAATTGATTATTCAATAGTAAACGCTTGTTGTATTAATTATAAATGCATTTTTGTTATTGTATTGATTTTTGGCGATTAAATTCCTATTCTTATCACTAGATAGTTATCGGACATTAAAAGTAGTGTTTAGCTATTCATATGCTTTTTATTATTTTCATTTGATTTGAATGTTGTTTTATATACACAAATATTTTTGGTTTTTAGAAACACAACAATTTTATTAATATTAGAGGCAATCGAAAGTTTGTGTGCCGTTTGGCCACACCTTTTGCTTTGTGTTGAATTATTACACAATCTAATGGATATTATCATATATTTTGATGCAATTTAGTACACTTTATGGCCTCTCTCTCTCTCTCTCTCTCTCTCTCTCTCTCTAAATGTAATATCGTATTTAACATGCGAGCCATTGCTGTCCATTACCGATACGATAGTGAATAAGAATTGCGTGTTTTAGTCGATTGCATTTATTTGAGCCTTTCTTTCAATCATATGGTTATTGGGTTTGTTTGTCGGCTAAAGGAGACCAATACTAACCGCTGTTATCACGACTAATGTCAGTATATATTTTTTCTTTGAAACACTGGCTCAGCATTGATAACACGGTTTATTATGCGCCGCACGACCAGTGCCTTTGCCTACCGGAGCCCAACGCACACAGCATTACATTTAAGTCCACTCATAGTCTTTCGGCCCAAAGTTTTTTTTATTTTCTTACGACTATTTTTCTTATTTTTCTGTATTTTATTTGTATTTTCTTTTTACTTATTCTCTTAAATTGTTTTTATTCTTTAAATCATATAAACGTCTCCTTCTTCTCCATCTCTTCATGTGTTGGTCTTTGCAAACAAAAGGTCTGGTTATATGTGTGGTGTGTCTGAAGCGATGGCACGCGTTATAAAATATTAATCGGAGGCTCGGCTTAGACTGTATTCTGGATGTAGAGGAGAGAGAAGCCACTGTCTAATAGTGTGTGTAATACTGTTTTTGGCCATAACTTTATATATGGCTCACAAACTAAAGCTCATTCCCAAGAGCTCCACCACATCTTCATTTCAATTGCTAATGTCGTCGCTTCGGCACAAACTATGGGTTTTGCATACATAACGGGTACGAGAGCTCTACACACCCTCTCAACGGCTCCAACACTGATCGACAAACAGCAACAGACTCTGTGAAGAGTCGGTTGGGTTGGCATCCGATCCCTTCGACTCTCTCTCGACTCTAAACATTATTTCACACAAACATATAGCGAAAGAGAGCCAATATAATAATCATACTGTAGTCATACTGTACTCAATGTGTTGACCGTTTCGATGCCATCTCTACTCTGTCTGTCTCTCGCATCCAAACTATACCATTAAAAGAGTCACTCATTTTGTTGATGTCTTTTTTGTATTTGTTTTTTTGGTTTTGTTCCCAATTGTGATGACAAATGTCTCTCCAAAACGAGTCTCTCGTTTGTGTTGAGCCAAAGGTGTGTTGCGTTTGCTTTCAATTAAATTTGTTATGTTTTCAATGCATTATAATTTCGTAATTATTGTTATTTTTGTGTAAGTTATTGGTTAATAACATATCGTGTCTGACAATTATGCCGTTTATTGGCATAAATGGCATTCAATGTATGCTCTGATGTGATTGAACTAATATAAAATATTATATCATGTAATATATATCTCTGCTTTTTTTATTTCCCAATTTAGACTCTATACTTGTTGCCAATGCATTTGCCTACCAGTCCTTCACTCATCCACTTCTCGCCAAATGTCACACAACATGAAGAGCGAGAAGAAGAGAAGGAACACAGCATTGGATACGAATGGAAACAAGAAAACTCGTATATGACTTGTATTTCAAGGTATGTCTCACTTCTCATTGCGATATCATTAAGAAATATGAAGTCGACTCCACTATACCTTTTCGTTCGCTCGTCAATGCGTTCATCACATCAGCAGATGTTGTGAATTGACTCCTAAAAAAGTTGTTTCAATGAGATTTTCCCAATGCCTCAGCCCTTATAGTTATTGATCCAAATCTATGTTATAGTTCTCTCTCTCTCTCTCTCTCTCTCTCTCTCTGCCAAAAAGGACAGTAAGGTAGAGATGAGACGACTTTTTATGTGACTTTACTACAGTATAAGAGCATATTTACAGTATTACTGAATAAATTTATTTCATCACTCGTTAATTCGTTGGTTAAATATATTTACTAATTTATGAGTAAAAATTATGGATCAAAACAATCAAATATATGACTGAGCACATCTTTTAACATGATCAATAATACAGAAACTTCTCTCTCTCTCTCTCTCTCTCTCTCTCTCTCTCCCTCTCTCTCCCCCCCTCTCTCCCCCCTCTCTCTCAACTTTCAATATGATAATACAGGGCTTATGCATTCATAAGCTTATAAGTCGTTTTTGTTTGATGCCTGACTTACTCTGTAATCTCATATCTGATTGTCCTCTCTCTCCCTCATCTCCCCACTCATCCCCTCTGAACAACAGTTATACAAATCTCATGACAGGTGTACTCAAAAAATATATCTAAAAAATGTTTGCCATCCAAATAAAACTCAACAAAAATATAAAACCTTTTGAGACAAAAATACAGATAAAAACTTATCGCTAGAAAAATGAGCGAAAAATATATTTTCACTGAAAAACGACTAAAACAAGAAGAGATGTGAATAAAAATTGAGTTTTGGAAAGCATACGAAATGCAGGTGCAGTCAAACCATACATACATAGAGTATATTGAAGTGAATTTTGCGTATTTTTTTCGGTGTGAAAGTAGATTAAAGTCGATTGCGTTCACAACAGTTTTGAGCCGCGCTTTCCTTTGACTGTCCCTCAGATGTACTGAAAGAAATATTAAGATTTTTCTACTCTAAGTGAGTGAGTGAGAGAGAGAGAGAGAGCATGTAGTTTAGTTGCACAGGTATTTTATAAATTTGTTGCTGTTTGGGTGCGACTTATAGTTTGATAGTATTATGTTTTTAGTGTACATTTTTATATAACTATATATAAGAGAGTGAATGAGAGTGAGATAGAGATAGACTTCTCCTAATTTCAGTGCCCAAAGCCATACCGAGAGTCGAGTCCAACAACTTTTTTCTTCTCTTACTCTACCGACGACTTGATATATTAAAAGTATGAGCTTTTTATGCAAAATCGTATATAATTTGTGTACAACTTATTAAGATATGCATTACATAACAAAACCAGAAATACTCTCCGGTCTGTACTCTATATTTAGCAACGAATTACTAAATATACAGCAAATGGACTTTTTTCGGGCGTTTCACTTGTGCTGTATATATACAGTAGATTCAGTCTACGGGTGTCGTACGGCTTTAATTATGGCTCTCTCTCTCTCTCTCTCTCTCTCTCTCTCTCGGCAATCATTTACTGTATGCTCAGTTGTGTCGTCCGTAATGCTGGTAACTGTAAGTGAGGGCTATTTTAATAACCGCATTATTGATCATAACTTATATGCATTGACGCTCAGCACCGATGGCTTATGTTTATGTGTGCCAACAATCATATCTGTTTAAGTCGTTTTTGTTTGATGCCTGACTTACTCTGTAATCTCATATCTGATTGTCCTCTCTCTCCCTCATCTCCCCACTCATCCCCTCTGAACAACAGTTACACAAATCTCATGACAGGTGTACTCAAAAACTTGCATGAAATTGTAGTTAAGAGTAAGTCTTGCGTTGAACTCCACATCTCTCTCTCTCTCTCTCTCTCTCTCTCTCTCTCTCCACTTCCAGTTCATGTGTAGCCCTGCAGTCTGCCAGCTCTGGCAATAACTCTCCAGCACTACCTGTCAGTTCGTTATGGACTCAAAGTCTTATATGAATTATTATACAATTCTCACGACTTATAATAATATCTTAAAAGAGCGACAGAAAGGGAAACGAAATGAAATAAATAGTCATATAATTGTTCGCAACATTAAAATCCAAGAGTAGTTTCATTTGCGAGTCTCAGAAATCGGTCGATCCTTTTGGTAAGAGAGCGCTCTCTAAACGCTTAGATGTAATGCCGAAAACATTTATGCATTAATTGGTCGATCGAGAGAAGAGAGCGCCCAAACAATCGTGGCCTCCATTACCAGCCATTCAATGGCTTTTTATAAGCGATAGAATAGAGGGCTGGAAGTGATGGACTGACTGCCACTACACTCGTCAGCGATGGTGTAGTCATAATCTAAACGATATCCGCAGCAAATCTTGCATGAAATTGTAGTTAAGAGTAAGTCTTGCGTTGAACTCCACATCTCTCTCTCTCTCTCTCTCTCTCTCTCTCTGAACGAAACCATTGTTTATAGGAATACAGAGAAGAATGAAAACTTCTGAATAGGATTTGTATTTCATATTTGAATGCAAATTATATTCACAAAATAGTCGAAACATTAGAGAAAGAAAAAGTAATAATAATTTTTCAAACGTTAGTTTATTTTTTTCTCCCTCTTTTGCTCTCAAATATACACTTATTTTAGATTTAATTCCCATTTTATTCACAATTTATTTAACGAGAGAAAAAACTATTAAAACGCTCACAACTATTATATATATATTTGACATTTCATTTCATTTTCTTAAACTATATGCCAAAGGAATATATAATACAATAAAAACCAATTGTTATTATCGGTAATGATATGAATAGCATAACAATAATCATTATAACAAGTTATTGGAGAAATGTTTTCAAGTATTTTTTAAAGAAAGGCATTCAATGAGTGACTGAAGAGAGTTGTGGAGAGAGAGAGAGAGAGAGAGAGAGAAATCTAAACGATATCCGCAGCAAATCTTGCATGAAATTGTAGTTAAGAGTAAGTCTTGCGTTGAACTCCACATCTCTCTCTCTCTCTCTCTCTCTCTCTCTCTCTCTCTCTCTTCCTCTCAATCAAAAGGCATCCAAAGTCTAAAGAGGTCTTCACTTCATTAAAAATCCTAAAACGATTCCTCTCTTTCTCTCTCGCATTTGTGTTCAGTTTTTCTCCTTTCAATTCATTATATCTGAGAGAAGGGTTGAGCTGATTGTCGACAATTAAATAGCACGAGATGTTCAACACCTGTGCTCTTTAATAACAACTTCAGCGTTGAAAAAGATATGCTTTTAATTTTTATATATCATGCCATCCATAGCTTTTTTGTACACCTCTCCCAATGCATCCCTCCATTCATTCTCTTTCCCTTTTCCTCTACTCTTCGTATTTTGAGTTCAATTTCTTAATTAATATCATGTAATTCGATGTCTCGTCTGTTGATGAATGAGATTTTGTGCCCAAAAAATGGTTTCGCAGTCTTTTCTATGCATTGGCTCTCATATGAAACCAACCGAAAGGTGTATTACTCTTATATTATTGAATTTTTCCTAATTATAAAACGCGTTATAATTTTTCTCCACACAAATCAATCACAAAACTCGCTGCGAAATCAGCGTTAGATTTATGCCTTACATAATCTAATTTTGTTTTACATAAAAAATTATTTTAACAGTAAGTTTGAAGAGAGAGAGAGAGAGAGAGAGAGAGAGATGAATAATAAATTTTAAAGAGAGAAATAAAAACATTACAAAAAAATGAAATCCAAGAATAACATCAAAATAAACTTAGAATGCTTAATGGTAAAATCATTTATTATTATTTTTTGCGACAATATTTTTAATAAATTTCCGGAAATAATCCCATTATTGGATGAAACGCATGGCTTAAGTAATCTTTGTGTAGGCATTAAATTCGGCCACAAAATAGTTTAATAAAAACTGCTGATTATTTCAAGAATTTTCTTAACCCCTAACCCATTGGCAAAATTGTGACATTTTATAGATTTATTATTTCTAAGAATAATACAATAGTTTACAGCAAATATCTGGAAATTATTAGGAAATAGAGTAATAATATCTATAAATATAGCGAAGGGAAGTGGAGGTCATCTCCAAGAAATAGCTCACTAATCAATGGGCATATAAACCATAAATCTAGTATTAGTTAAGAAGTGGGTATACCTTAACGATTAGCCACAAAAACGAAACACAAGACCCAATACAAGAATTTTTATTTATTGCATAACAAACGCTGCACTTTGTATATCAGATACTCATTAAATAATATTTTTCTTTATTTTTGTGTTTAATAATGAAACAAAAAATTTAAATCGATTTATAATTAGTAATCACATGGATATTACTCCAAACGAGAAATGTTAGAAAACAAAATATAATTATTATTTTAATGATTAAAATTTCTTGTTCTTTATTTTTATAGATGAAGAGAAACTAATAATAAATATATGTATAAATGAGTTCTGAAGACTCGAAGATTTATTAGACAAATCTCTCTCTCTCTCTCTCTCTCTCTCCTATCTATATATTGGTTGGCAATCATATTGTATTTCTTGGGGCAAAACGTTTTCATTTCACTCCAATTTTTTATTTAAAACATTTTCGCTGTTTTGTTATGTTATTGGAAGGAAGAGATGATTGAAGTCATATATATTTTGACTCTACTGTACAACAACTGAGTGATGGCACCGGTATTGTATTCACTCATGTACTGCACACAACGTATGCATATACACGAGCTTTTGCTTATATAACTCTTATGAATGGTATATAAAGTTTGTTGAATTGATTTGTGTGAGCGATGGCATCGTATCCGAAGGCATTTTTGCTAAATAAAAACCACTCAATTGTATATATATTTTTTCCAGTGTTGGGAGAAATACTTTTGTCGTATATATGAGAGAAGAGAACTAAAAATTATGAATAGTTTTTATGACTTTTCCATTCAATTCATTTTTATTGAGTCAATATATTATGCGAAAAGACCCGTTAGAGTCCAGTTATAATTTGCATCCAATAAAACTCTAGTAAAACAAATGCCAAAAGGTTTTTAATATTTTATGAACAAAGAATATCTCCGGCAATATATTTATTACATATATTATATACAATTCATTGTATTTAGTGATTGTCTTTAACCGGCAATAAGTCGGTCGCCGTTAATGTATGTCTAATACTATGGTATTATTGAGAGAAGAATGGATGGGAAATACATTTTTTATTTAAATTTAATAATTGCATAATAGATGACAATTAGTCGATAATCTATAAGTAGACAGCATTTGTAGTGAACCGCATGTGCGGCCACCGGATTCAATGGCTGCGCGTAACGCAGCTGTCCATCAAATGCTAATCATAATTATAATGACTATTATATCTGATTGTTAGATAAGGTTTAGGCATATATTAAGTCATATTTATATATGTAAGCAGTAGTTGTGATATTTCTCTAAAATATTATTTCCACCAAAAAATATTACATAATTTTTTGGGCTAATTTGTGTTCACAAAAATTTAGGTCACGGCTAAGTGTTTGAAAGTCCATCTCTTCAAACATCTGCTCCTCTTTTCCTTTTTCTGTTTTAATATCAAGATTTATATCATATTTTCATAATTTTATCTCAATTATTCTAAGATTTATTTACTCTATTCTCTATTCTCTCTCTCTCTCTCTCTCTCTCTCTCTCTCTC